GGCTATAATCGTTGGTTGAAGGATGAGAAAGAAGGAGTAGGATTCAATGACAAGCTCAGATTTGGGACTGGATTCCATGGCACCCTTTCCTTACCCGCTGTCTTCACCCCAGCTGCAGCGTGACTTTTCTTAGGGTTCTTCCTGTGTCAGTCCTTCCTTGCTCTGACTCCCTTAAGCAGGCAGAATGGAGTGCTTTCTCTTCTCTGTGCCTTTTCTTACTTCAGTTATTACAATTAGCTGGTGTGTCACAAGTATTATTAAAAGTAGATGTGTTCCCCTCCGTGAATTCTTTGAGGAGGAACAGGCTTGCTCTTTATTCATCTTCTGGTGTCTTGCTCTGGGTGCAGTACTAAGTGCTACTGAGTGAATGAGGGAGGAATCAGATCATCCTCAAATGTTAGCCCTTTGGCTTACATTATAGGCTCCTAATAGTTTGTCATAAAACTCCCATCTGTTAAAAAATCATGTAACTCGAACATGGAGTTTTCATAGTGCCATAAAACAAGTTAAGATTCACTGAAGATAGTTGAATTTTAAGGTAGTGAATCATGTATGCATACTAAATAAAAGGGCTTTGGGATTATGTGCACTTTGTTAAGCACTAATTCTTTCAAAATTGGCGATTTGTGTATGATTTATATTAGCAATTTTCATTTAACTACAGTATTTAGTTAAATGAAATACCCCTTTCCAACCATTCTTCATAGAGAATTTATTGAACATTCTCAACTGGGTTTTGCTGATAGTAATGTTCAAACAGGATTTTCTTTCTTTGGACCCAAAGCACCCAGTGATCAGGACCCAATGACTCAGAGTAGGAAATAGAAAAGGAAGAGGGAAGTAGAAATGGATGGCTGGGGCCTGGCAGGTATTTGCTTCCCTGTAGAGGGCAAGGTGGGCAGATATAAACAGAATGTTTACAAGAGAATTTGGTGCATTTAGGCAGCTTTCTAACCAGGACAGGGCAGCTTTCTCCCTCTGTGCTCTGACATCTCAGGGCTGCGTTCCATGCCAGCTTCCCCATCCTGTAAGGATCCTGGGGCCTCCCACCACTCCTATCACCCCATTCCTGCACATCCCACCTCATTCCCAACAGTGCCACCAGGGAATTTACCCTGAAATAGCCAAAGAAACAACTTCCTGTTTCTAGTTGACCACTTAATTAGGGATGTAGGTATTTGCTCAGCCGTGGCGCCAGGTTCTTGAGAAATGGTGGAGGGTAATGTGAATCAGCCTCTATGTGTCTCTTGCAGTTCCACATTTCAGGCTTTGCCATGCTCACATTGGCCTCTCCAGTGAACTTGCCCTCACTGCTATTTCCCGTTGCTTGGCAATTACCCAGTCAGTCTTCAAGACCTAGCTGAAACACTTCCTACTTTATGAAAGTCTCTAACTCATTCAGGCTGAAGTATTAGCTCCTTCTAGATGACCTCTACAGCTTTTTCCATCTATTGATTATTAGCATCGGTTAGTTTGCATTGTACTTTATTCGTTTACATATTTGATCTCATTCACTGCTTGGTTCTTCCAGTTCAGCTTCCATATCGTACCTGTTTCTGTATCCTTAGTCTTTGTACTAGCAGTGCCTGGGATATGACAGGCATTCAGGAAAGATTTAAAAGGAAAACTATTTTGATTGGGGTGGTGAGTGCTGTGGTAGCCTAAGAGAACTCACTTTCTCTCTAACAGTTACTTATCCAGCTTCATCGCCATCGTTTGACCCTTTTATTCTAGAACCATCAAGGTCTAGAACCAAGTCAGTTTTGTTTGTTTTTGTGGTACTGGGGATTCAACCCAGGGCCTCCTATAGTAGGCAAGTGCTCTACCACTGAGATAACACCTCTAGTCTCTCAAGTCTTATTTTAATCAATGTCTTTCTAGCCATGATTTTTCTCATGTTTTAGGTTTTGACAGCAAACTAAAACCTCACTAACACCCTATATTTTACCCATTAGTCTTCCAACAGTAGACTGTCAGCCAATATAGCAGGAATGAGGTTTAAAGAACAGATTGTACATTATAGGTAGCCAAAGATATCACTGCTGTCTTGAGCATTATGCCTTCGTTCAATAGTATTGGGCTTTTTTGTTTCCTTTATATATATTTTTTGGAGAGGGTTGTGGGAAGGGGGCATTATTTTCTTAGAACTTTGTATAAATGATTGTTTTGACAGGGGAACAAAAACTCTCACTCTGATTGGCACAGTTTTTGAAATCAGAATCATAGCTATGAAGATCTCATTTCCTGTTGACTGATTTAACATAATTAAGGCTTGGAGAATCTACCCAGGATAGTACATGGAGGCTGGCAAGTGACAAGCTATGCGCATTCCTCTCTCGCCCTGCATCTTGTCTTTGGGACTGAATGTGTTGGTTAGCTGGAGGAAGGGGTTTGGTGGGCAGTGGCCAGCTGACACCCTGAACTGTCTCACTGAGTTCCTATAACTGGAAATTGTGTGTGATCCAGCTAAGTGGATGATTTGTGGACCAACTGTGGCTGCACCATGCCATCCTACCTACAATCTATGGAAATTGATAGCATCTTTTAGCCCTGAAACCAAGAGATTCAATTTACTCTGCTGCTCACTTAGAAAAGACAGGGAAAAATAACCCCAAATCACTGGGGAAATAGGCTCTTCAATCTGAAAAGAACCACGCAATATCATCTAATCCATTTCTCTTCATCCTTTTTCTACCCCCAGAAAGATAATTATCTCATTTCTTTCCCTTCCAAATCTCTCAAGAGAAGGTGATTCTGTTTTTCTTTGATATCTATTCTGATCTCTAATAACTTTTTGTAATTAGGAGAGAAAGTTATCAACGCTTTCCTTCATATTGCCATGAAAGCTAGTTTCATCTTGTGCAATTCTTGGAGAGAATCATGACTTATATCTTTATGTTGGCCTCCATAGCATTCACTCACAAATCTTCACTGACCACCTACTGTGTGGTAGATACTGTGCTCGGCTTTGCAGATACAAAAGAGCAGAGCACAGAACAGGCTCATGGACTAGTGGGGAGGTGGATACAAATTTGAATAATACAAATAGAAATTTAGAAGTGGTAGTAAAATAAATGTGTATATTGATTGTATATTATATAAATGTTTATATGTATTATATGCCTGTATCTGTATGTTTAGTAACTGCAAATCGGGACAAAAGCAAAAAGAGAAATAAAATGAGGCCAGGTATTGGTCATAGAGAGAAAGAGTAACCAAGAGTAATTTTGATAGGCTATTTAAACAAGGCATTGAGCAGAGACTGAAATCATAAAGTGATGGGAGAGTGGGAGAGTGTGAGAATAGAACCTTCCAGACTAAGGGGCAGCAAAGATGAGGCCCTGAGGTGAGAGGTTGGGGAAGCAGTTGAGACAAAGTGAGCTCCAACCACATTGAGGAGAGAGAGAGAGAGAGAGAGAGAGAGAGAGAGAGAGTGTGTGTGTGTGTTGGGGTAGGAAAATCCAAATCATTTAGCCATTGCTCAGTTCCAAAATTTCAGTTCTACAGAGTGTTTGGGCCTTTGTGACCACATCCATTTCAGTCCTCAGCACATGGCAAAACCTCACAAAGTGCATATTTCTTCCCTTCCTTTTTCAGCCACTGCCCAGTGTTTGTCTGAACCTAAAACCACAACCTCCATTGTAAGCCGGGCTCAGTTCATTTCATCTGGGTTTAACTGTTTTGTTCCCAGTCTTCTTTCTTGGCTCATCCACTCAGTGCTGCCTTCCCTTCCAGATCTTTCTGGAAAAACATGTCCTTTACTATCTCATCATCTCCACTTTCTGGTTCAGGTGATGGCTACTCCTTTTCTCCTGCACTTCTGGCCACTGAGCCAGGAGACAGGGTTGACATTATTCTAATTTTAGCCCTCAATTACAAGACTTTTCTCTCTCTGCAAAGACCAGGCTGACGACCATGACAAGCAGCCCTGAAAGCCCCAGTGAAGGATTTTTCCTTGCACAAGGCAGGGTCCCACCTGGGTAGAATGGGGAGGGGCAGACTGCTCTATACCCTGTCCCATGTGACTTGTTGTTGTTTACATCGTTGGGCTCCATTTGTCTGGTTGTTCCTGGTGTCTTGGGCTCTTTACTAGGTCCCCTGTGTCCCCCCAAAGAAGAACATAAGCCAAAAGGATTTTGTGAGAGATTTTTTCAGGTGCCAAGCCTAGAAAATGCTGTGTCTCTCTTGCTTCCCTCCCATTGGCCAGAACTCAATCATATGGCTTACATCACTGCCAGGAATGCTGGGAAATGCAGACTCCCTGAAGGCCCAGAGGAAAAAGGAAGCAGAACATGGTGGACACACAGCAGCCCCATCAGTACCAGCTTCCACTGGGGCAGAGTTCTTGGTGTCCATGTCTGTGGCCACACCCTGAGCCTCATTCTCATGCAGATTTAAACTTCAATATCTTATCCTTGGACCTCAGCATCCTATGTTTCCATGCCCTTTGTTATTTCCCTTCCTCCAGAGACCTCTGTTTTTGGCACTTTCTTATAGTCATCATCTTTCTCTCCTGGTTCTTTTCCTGCTTTTCCATCGATCCTCTGGATTGCTCTTTTCTGGAAACTTCAGTTCCCTCAGACCTTGTCATTCAACCTCAGCCTTGGATCTGCCTCTTCTGTCCTTCTACTTGAGCTACCAAAGTGCTGCTGAGGTCATACACAGTTGTGGGGTTAGTGCCAGACAGATTCCAGGACTTGAGCTTCTAGGCTCAGATTCTAGGCTCTTGAGGCTTGTTCTCATCTTTCTGTTGTTCCTTCAGGGATTATTTAAAGATTTACCAGATTTTGTAAGCCCTTTCCCTGCTTAGCTTCATCGTCCTACCTTTCAGCAAAAAAAAAAAAAACCTCCCCTCACTTTCAAGGAAAACCTGACACAATGAGGAGGGGCCACTCTCAGCTCCAAGTTCCTCTTGCTCCATATTTCCCCCTTTGACAATCCTCCAGCCCCAGGAGATGAGGATCTGCTCCCTTATTCATCAGTTCTTGGTTCTTCCTTACCTGGCCTCCTCCTCTCTCTCCTCCATTCATGATCCTTTCTTCCTCACTGCCTCCTCTTCTGGCATTTTCAGTCAGCTTATGCATGTCATTTATCTGCAAAAAAAAAAATGTCTTCCATCAACTCTGCCACCATCTACCCCACCAGTGCCAATGCCACCTACTTTCTTATTTTATTTTTCAACAAAACTCACTAAAATACAATTCCACATGAGCTGTTTTCAATTCTTTGCATTCTGTCACCTCCCAACCAGTGACCTAAATATCAAATCGAGTAGGAAACTATGAGTCATTTCACTGAAATCCCTGGGGCATTTGCAATGGCTAACTGTTCTCATCCTTACTTTCTGGAAACATCTTAATAATTTTTACAGGGCTGCTTTTTCCTTGCCTGCCCATTAAATTAGATTCCCTCCTCTAACATGTCATCATTCTCCCGTTTTCTTTCTATGTTCCTTCTCTCCTGGGGATACACTCAGCCTCATCATCATTACCTTTAGAACTTATGGGCTGAGGCTTCCAAATCAGTTCTCCAGCCAAGCTTTTTCTCATGAAGATGAGAAGCAAATATCCTGCTTGTTTACTTGTTTACTTGTTTGTCCCACAGTCACTTATATTTGGTGGGTCTAATAGGGAAGAGATTACCCGATCTCCTTTTCCTCACCTCAGACTTCTCTCTCTCTCTTTCATTCTTCCTGAGGAATGGTTCAATAGAACCAAATCTACTTAGCTTCTCAAGCCAGAAATTCCAGCATCATTTATCTCCTTTTCTCTAATTCCCAAAGACATTTAGTTATCTAGTCCTGCTGCATTTGCTTCATTAGTTTTTCTTGGCTCTCTTCTTACTATGACTCTCAAATCCCTTCTTATAACTTGTTTGCATCATTCCAACAACCTCCTCTGCGCTTCTTTGCCCCTGGATCTGCTCTTTCTTTCACCCACCCAGCAAGTACCCGTCACTGGACCAGAATCCATCAATTCTTACTTGGCACAGAAGCCATGCTGATCAATACAGCATGCGGTTACCTAATGCAAATCAAATGTACTCCTATAGGATGGATGAAAACCATGAACAACTATTTTATGTGAGTCCTTGCAGCTCCAGATAAAAATTATGGACATTATCATATGTGGGCATGAAAAGCCAAATTTGAAATAACTTGGAAGTAGAAATCATGTGCTGTTGAAAATCATTTAATAAGTGAAAAGTCTCTTTTGTGACTGCAACACTAGCATCAGATGCAAAGATTGAGTAAAGTTGTTTTGTGAAATATGAGAATGAGCAAAAGCAATACTTCTAATTTAATATATTTTATTTTAAATATACATATGTAAAAAAATTAGAAAATTCAGTATGGCAAATAGACATTTGACTATTACAACCACATCTATGTCTCCAAAAGTTTGTATTATTCAGGTTGGCCAATTTCCTTTTTAAATGAGAAGATGGAGATTTGCCCTAAACTCAGTGTATGCTTGAGCAATGGAAGAGTTTATTGAAAATTTGTTTGACTAATAAGATGCCTTGTGACTGTAGTACCATGTTTTTGAGTCTAGTTCCCCCCACCTCACACTTTTCTTGAATAAAATAAGCTCATGGCTGATGAAGTAGGCAAGGTTGTATTGCTACAGGAGTCCTTGAAAAGAGAATGCCCTATTAAATGCTTAGAAGTTTATTTATTAGGTTATGGAAGGTTCAGAAGGCTTCATCCTAAATCCAGGCAACCCCTAATAATCAAATACCAGCCCCATCTATAAGTAGTGGGTAGAGCCAAGTATTTGGGATCTGTTGAGTGGCTGCATTCATATTCACTGAAGTTTTGGATTGAAAGTTCTGTACAGTTCTTAGCACTGTAGCAAAATATCAAAGAAATAGAAAGCATATCTTAGACCTTGAGAACCTTATCATTTAATAGAGTTTAAAATGTATAAAAAGTAAGTTTAGACTCAGTGTCCTAAGATGAGTATAATGGTCTTCCATCTTATGCATGATACCTTCATCCCAACATCCACGGAATAGTCAGTCACAACTCTTATGACTCTGAGAAGAATTTTCCAGCTTCTGTGGCATCTGAGTTAATAAAAACAGAGAAAAATGCCTTTTCTTTTTTAGCAACAATTACTTGAGTGGGAGGGAAATAGAGTTACCAAGGCAGGGTGGGAACAGTTGTGGAAAGTTTCATTTCTAGATTCTCACTCAAAAATCGAGGGATGGGGAAAATAATTTTCCACAAGCACATTCACATTTAGTGTTTACATTCGTATTTAATGAGGACTTGGAGAACAAATGGAATAAGGGAGCTGCTGAGGAGAGCTGGTATTTTTAATGAGCAAATTTTTCCCTTTTCTACATTTGCTGCAGTCCAGGCAAGCATGTACACAAATAGCCACAATTTGTAAATTATTCCTGACATATTTTCTGCTCTTTGAATTCCCTGAGTGCCTGCAATATAATTAGAAATAAGCACTCTTTTACATCAGTAATGGGGAAAAAAAGACATGGTTTCAGCATGAAATAAGATGTTACCTGAACAGAAAATTATAGATATAGCAGCAACTGCTGTCGTCACAGAGGAAGAAAAGGAAGCATTGAAGGCATACAGACTGTTTCTAGCTTTGTATGCTGACATTTTCCTCTGCTGATCAAAGCCACCTCCTGCATACATGGGCAGGGAAAAGATGATACCGATGAAAAGAGGAGGAAAGAAAAACCCTCAGGAGAAATGCGCCCAGTCTTTGTGGATGTTCCTTGGTGTGGTTGAGACTGTGGAGTTGAAACAGAGCAGTTGATGTAATTGTTCTGCCCTTTTGTATAGCCACCTTCAGCTGCAGACTGGAAGACAGAGGCAGACTTTCAACAGAGGCCCAACTCTTTACTTCAGTTGTTGACTGACTGATTGATTCATTCATTCATTCACTCATCTACTCACACGATGGGTGACTATTTTGTGGGATCTTAAACCTTCGGGCAATATCAGTGTACCAATAAAAAGACAAATGACTTCCCATCATAGGATTTATAGCCCATTTGGGGAAGATATATAATAGACAAAGATACACAGTAGAATGTCCTCTGATTGTAGACTGAGTACTAGGATGAAAGTGTACTTGGGCTGTTATTTCCGATAGGTAGTCAGGGAAGACCTCTCTGTGAAGGTGGCTTTTTAAAAAATTTTTTATTTTATTGGTACATTTTAGGTATACAATATAATTACATTCATCATTGGAAAGAAGGTGGCTTTTGAGAAGAGACCTGAATGAAGTGAGGGAAGAGACATGAGTGTCTATGGAGAGAGTATCATGGCCAGAGAGAGAACTGAAAAGGGAGCATCCCACTTCGAAGGAGTATCCTGGTCAGCGGGAGCATCCTGGTCAGAGAGAGACCATCAGCAAGAAAGGCCCTGAGTAGGGGGGAGGTTGGTGTACTTGAGGGACAGTCAAGGGAGAGTCAGTGTGAGTAAGGGGGCAGCACAAGGAATAGGTGCACTCCAGGTGGACAGGGCTCTGATCTCATTTTAGGTGTGTCAGGAAGCCATTGGGAGTCAGGGGGAGTCATTTGAGCTGACACATCTTAGTGTTATTCTGTGCTTATGCGAAGAGAAGATTCTAAAAGCTGGGGGATATGAATAGAATTCAGATTATTAGTTGAGAGGATATGTTGATCACTGGAGGAGGTGCAGCTTGGACTGAAGAAACAGTGATGAAGTTGGATGCTGAGCTTGTGGACTTTGTCACAGATGAAGACTATGAGAGGAGAAGGAAGAAGGACAATTTCTTAGGCTTTTGATAGAGCAACTGGGTGAAGAAGTCACTTGGCGAAGAGCAAGATTGGAGAGGATGAACATCAAAAGTTCAGTACCTGAGATGCCTTTTCAATACCCAAGTAGCAGTATCATGTAGGCAGACAGATCTACGACTGTGGAAGTTATAGATGATGCCTTAGAATGATGAAAGCCATGGATTTGGCTGAGGTCAACTAGGGACTGAGGATAGACAGGAGAGAGAAGAAGGCTGAAGGCTGAGCACATTTTTCCTCCTTGTAGATATCAGGACACAGAGAAGAATTCAGCAGAGGAAATGGAGGAGTGGACAGTGATGACAGGAATACCAGGAGAGACTAGTTCCATGGAAGTCAAAGGTGGACTGTTAAAATATTGGGGAATTGCTTATAAATCTGCACTGTTAAAAGGGTGAGCAAGATAAGAGCTGAGAAGTGACCCCTGGATTTGGGCAAATGGAAACCAGTGGTGACCCTGACAAGAGCCCTGGTGGCATGATGGAAGCGACTGATTGGAGTAGGTCAGAGAGAAAATGAGAAATTGGGAAATGAAGTGAAAATGGAAATATTATAGAAGATATATACTAATGGAAATAATCCACTAAAGTAGGAAAAATGGACGGCCCAAGGGAACTGTAGGAGCATATTGCTGGGGAGGCAAGAGGTGGTAGGATAGCAATAAGGATGATCCATCAAGACGGAAGGCAGAACAGGTGACACAAGCCATTGGTGCATTAGTGGTGGCAGAGGTAGGACATTTTCTTCTAATTACTGAATGATATAAGACATACAGACATTAACTGGGAAGAGGAGGTTTTGAAGATTAAGAAAAAAGGAAGAATGAGATCATGTCTCCCCCTGCCCCTCCCAGTACCAGGGATCGAACTTGGGACCTTGTGCTTGCAAAGCAGGCCGCAGAACCACTGAACTAAATCCCTGCCCCATGATCATGCCTTCCTGAAAGAAATGTTGTAGAAGTGCCAGGCAGCTCAGAGAGGGTTCAGCCAGCCATCATGGTGGTAGATTTTTTTCTGCAGCCCTATGCAGCCAATTGGGAACATGTGTAGAGTAGATTAAGAGTTGACATTAACTAGGCATGTGTGCAAGGATATGCCTAGAGGGTGGTTGTGTGAGGGGTTACTTTTGGATGAGGAGAGCAGTGAGGACACAGTGGGCTAATGAAAGTGAAAAGGTGGTTGAGCTAATGAAGTAGAGGTGCCAGGGAGACCAGAGAATAATTGAATTGAGAATTTGCTAGGAAAGAAGCTGGAAATATAGAAGACAGGTGGTGAGCCATCTGGCATGCCTAGAATTGAAATTTGGGAAATAATTTCATTATTAGTAATGCCCTTGGGACCACTGGCATGACCTAGTGTGGAGGACAAGTTCTTTGGAAGTGAGGAAGGTAATGAGCCAAATAAGGAACTCACACCAAAGTAGTAGATGGTTTATCTAAATGAATACTGGCATCTGTATAATAGTGCTTGGAGGAAAGGTCTAGGTGAGAAGTAGGTGATTGCTAGAGGTAACCCTTAGTTAACAGTTGTAGAGGGATATAGAAAAGTACTGATTGAATTATTCCTAGCTTTAGAATAGATGCACAGCTACATAGACTTGACATTTGGTTTAGATAAATACAAACTTAGGTTGAGTCTGCAGGAGGTGTTGACATCCCAAGATTGGCACAAAGCTGTCTATTCTGAATGTGGAGAGGAAGCAGAAGCTTCAGAATTACTGTCTTAAAATGCAGGAAAAATCTAGAAGCTGATTTTAGAATCCAAATTTAATTCACAGAAATTCTCTTTCATTTTGATAACTTCCAAATATCATCAGGAAGTCCTTGAGACAGCTGGGTGAAAACTTCTGTCTTCTGATAGCACTCTAGAAACATACACACCACCCTCCACACATGGCAACCCCTGTGTCTCACAGGCTTTCTAAGACAACGATAAACCCGAAGAAAGTAAAGTATCCTTCTACAGTGAGAAAGACTTGTGTTCATTATTACTATTTTATAATGTTCTAGTAATAAGTCTCTCATTTTATGCATTTTTTCCCCAGATGAGCTTTAGATCCCTTTTGTCTGGTTGAAAAATTCTGTTGGATTTTTCCTGGGGTACTATTAAAGCCATTAATTAGAATAGAATTAGGAGCTTTTTGGTTTGCAGCCCTTCTGATCAAGAACACAGAATGTTGTTTCACCTACTTCTTATTTTATATATTTTAGTTTGCTCATGCTTTCCTTTTTGTTACACTCTAATATTCAAGACAGATACCAGAACCACCCTGCTTACACATCTCACCACAGCAAGAGAGTTTGGTCATTAAGATACTGAACAGGATAGTTCAGATACGAACAAATCCAAGGCAATCCAAAGCAAGATACAGCACAGGTGAGCCAACAGCATGACTGTTCCTTTGTGATAAACACTGTAGCTGAGAGTAGATTATCTGCCTCTAGTCATATGCTTGCTGCCACTTTGTCCATGGGACTAAATGTCTTCCAAATATTTGACACTAAAGACTCTCTGAATCACAACCTTGAACATGTATCCACTCTGTACCTGTGCGTTCTGTATCTATGGATCCAACTAACCATGAATAGGAAATAGTTGAAAAAAATGGCATCAGTATTGAACACATACATACTTTTCTTGTTATTCCCTGAACAATACAGTATGTCATCTAGTATTTGTATAGCTTTGACATTGTGTTAGATATGATAAGTAGTGTGGAGATGATGTAAAGTATACGGGAGGGTGTGCACATGTTATATGCAAATACCATGCATTTTTATATGATACTGAGCACCCACAAATTTTGGCATGGGGGAGGCGTGACCCTGGAACCAATCCTCCTCAGGTACTGAGGGACTGTGCTACAGTAGCTGAAGATCGTGGTGGATGGAAATCATGCGCTTTCACCATCTGAAAAGCATTTTAAAATAATGTACTGCTTCTTCAGAGGGCTGGGCAGCAGCCTGATAGGGAGCAGCATGGCATGTGGCCATTAGCAGTGACATGTGGCTTTTGAGCCAAGCTGAGGGGCAGCCGAACAGGCACAGGGGCCCTGTAGTCAGTTACAACAGATTCTCTTCTCTGTGGACAGTAGATCAGTCCCTCCTTGGCTGTAATAGGAGAAGGTCATACTTCAGTTTTAAAGTATTAATGTTAAAGACAGCAGTCCCTTCCCTCCAAGAAAAAGAAGTTTGGGGAAATATGCAATAACTGTCTTCATGGCTTTCCACTGGCCAAGTCTCTTTGAAGAAGCCAGAAACCATTTGTATTTGCTGTTTCTCCCTTACAACCTGCAGGGATATCTTGGGTCATTTCTCAGTGAATACTCAGAAAATACAATCACCTCACCTTGATCAGTCACATCCCACAAGGAGCACAGAGACCGGAACCTGAACTCTGTTCCCAGATTCCCTTTAATTACCTGGCTCAATCCTGCCTCCATGAAATTCTGAAAAGCTTCTCAATGAATAATGGTTGAGCATTGTTTTGTACCATTAAAATAACACCCAGGAGTGGACCTCAACTGGCTCTATCCCTAAGAACATGCCACTGTGGGTCATGTCTGTGATTTCTTCCATGTTTTTGGCAGCAGACCTGCTGAGGATTTTACAGTAGATTTGGAGAGGAAGTAGTATTGAGGAAACAGAGCTAGAAAAAACATACAGCCTGGTACTAGCTGCTACTTGAGAGGCTGCGGCAGGAGAGTTGTGAGTTCGAGGTCAGCCTGGGAAACTTAGTGAGACCCTGTCTCAAAATAATCATGTGGTTTAAAGATAGCCACATAGAACTGCAGGCCTAGGGGTTAGCCCTGGAGCAGTCAAAGAAAATGTGCATGAAGCAGTGAAATTAGCTATGCACCATGGCGGTTTAAGATTCAAAAAAATCATCCTAATCATTGGATTTCTGAGCATTCTCTTCTCCTTGTCAATTGAATTGTGAATGTCTTTAGTTTATTTCTTAGAGAAAGAATTGAAAAAGCAGCTGCTTTGATTGCTCCTGAGGATGTCACACTCTAGGGTGTGCAAGTAATTTAGTATTATTAACAATAACAACTATTGTAATCCTTGTCTTTTATTACACTCACTCGACTGACCTCTTTGATCCCCGTAATTCCATCCCATTTATTCTTTGATATTGTAAAGTATAAGTCTCAATGGGAAAAACTACAAACTCTCGAAGGGTGGATTAATTTCCCATTGATTTAAATTTCAAGTCCAAGTAAAAATTGTAAGGACAGTGTAAAGTGAACTTTCCTCTGCTCAAATTGGATGTTGATTTTCTAGTAATGTGATCAGCATTATCCAGGTGCTTAGCTAAAGGCACGAGGTGGAGTAGGGGCCTGCTGGTCCAGGAATCTCTTCGTATAACACCTTGATGCCTTTGTACCTACAATCCTTTGTCCTTTGGGCAGGACATAGCAATTTAGGATTAGTTGATAACCTTGGAGTTGCATGAAATTGTTTTGTGTGCAAATGTGCATTTTCTTAGAGTACTTTTCATCAAATTCTCAAAGATATCTGTAACCACAGGAAAAGAGACTAAGAATCACTTTTTAGAGAGATGGAATGGGAGCCATCTGGGGTAAGGAGAATACTTGCATTCATTTGGTGCACTGTTGAGGTGAGGTTGGACACATTGGTGGGTGTCCCCATTCTACATCCTCTGCCTTTGCCTTTGGGGACAGTGACTTCTGGGATCCCAAGGTCAAGGTAATGCCAGCTGAGCACAGCCAAGGGTAGAGACTCAAATAATGATGCTGTGATTGGATGGCTTCATGAGAGCTTGTATTTCCCAGCTGGTGTCCTCCTCCACCCACAAATCTGTGTGTTGTTGTCACAAGAAGCTAGTCCAGTCTCTTCAAGAGTCCACACTGGAGACAGGGACATGCTGAAATCAGGCTGGAGCCATAACTCTTGATAAATGGGATGGAATTTCTTTCTTTTTTCTTCTTCTTCTTCTTTTTTTTTTAACCCTAGGACAACCATGCTCTCTGGTAGATAAGAGAACCACTTTCATTACATTTAGCATTCTTGATTTATCTTCCAAATAGAAATTTAAGAAGCAACAGTACAGTCTGCTTGAAATGCCAAGAATATTTAGAACAAATCTGTTGTTAAAGAAGACTAGCAACAATGACTACCCTATTCCAGAGGAGAAATTAACTGTTGCAGAGAGGTTGAGAAGAGTGGAGAATATGAGAGACTCCTAGCCTCATGTCACTGTAAAACACCTGCTGCCACGTCTGGGTTTGCAGCTCTGGAAGGGCATTGTCTCCACTGGCATGGAGGGAGTGCTTCTGCCATCAGGCCAGGGAATTAGCACAATCACCCAAAGAGCTATTTAGGACTGAGCTTTAGGAAAGAGTCAAGATCTATGTGTCATTCTCTCATTTGTCAACATAAAACTATTGGAAGAAACAGCTCACGAAGCTAAAATGTGTCTCATTCATCCTCATATATCAAAGTATTCATTAAGGAGCAGTTCTGCTGCCCCCCAGTTCTCTGGGTAAAATTCTATGAAGAAAGCCCTGTGGGATTCTGAAAGTTCAGTCCCTGAATTCAGAAAGTATTCTGTCATTTTCAGTATATGTTGAAGAAATCAGACAAGGTCAATCTTGGGGGCTTTTTTAATTTCAGAAAATATACGCAGCAGAGAAACCAGTATGTTACCTGCACTTGCTCTCCTGGTTGCTATTTCTTCAGAGAGTGTGTGTAAGGTACAGATTCTGACCTCACCCTCAGGCTCTGCAACCCTGAGATGCAAAGAGATATTAAATCAACACATGGTAATACATGCATGTCACAACATGTGGGGAGGATCATGAATGAAATGAATGAGGTACTGGGATCAGGACCAGAGGAGACCTATTTTATCCTTTTAAAATTATGACTTGGTTATGTTCACAAAAGCCGTGCTTGGTTTTTAGAAACATGTAAGCAACATAGAGGATGCAGAAAAGAAAGAAATCTCCCAAGTCCAGCCCCCTTCAGGAATAATCAATATAAACTTTCTTTTAAAATTATGCTAGACATCATCCTCTACATATTTACCTGCTTTGTTTTTTTTTCAGTGCTGGAGATTGAACCTAGCGCCTTCACATTGAGCTACTTTCCCAGCCGTTTTGTTGTTGTTGTTTGAGATAGAGTTCACTAAATTGTGGAGTTGCCCAGATGGGGCTCAAACTTACGATCCTCCTGCCCCAGCCTCCTAGAGTGCTGGGATTACAGGCATGTGCTGCAATACCTGGCTTTTTACATACGGTTTAAAAATAAGTATTAAATTTGATTTTATTTTAAGTGGAGCAAAAGATAGTGAAGTATAACTAAAGGAATTGGTAAACTTTAGATACATATATACACATGCAGATAGCTAAATAGATAGGAAGCAATGAACTCTTTGGTGCATTTAGTTCCTAGATTTTAGCAGTCCTGTATTGTACTCTTCTCCCTCCCACCTACAGGCTGTAAAAGTATACAAAGCTGAGCCGGGGATTTAGCTCAGTGGTGCCGCCACCTGCCTCGCAAGCTCAAGGTCCCGAGTTTGATCCCTGGTACCAAAAAAAAAGTATACAGAGGAAGCAACAATGAATAAATCTTGGCCATATTGGACATTCACTACTGTTGTACATTAATTCTGGTTAGTGATGCCAGGGCTTGCAGAAGGAGATCCAAAATAATCTGCCCGATTCCATGTGACCTGGCGTATCCCTATTCTCCTTGCCCACATCACGATGGAGGACAGAGCCCCCGCTGTGTTCAGGACAGAATAAGACAGGAGACGTAAACAACCCAGGGCCTGCTGTAGCCAGTGTCACTGGGGTCTGTCTCTGACATTTTTCCTTGTTCTGTAGGGGACTTAGTCATACTCTAGTTTTTGGCTGGATTTTCCCAGAAATCCTGGGGACAGTCTCCCACTCCGACCCAATCCAGCTCCCTTGCTTATGTTCCTTGGCTGGGGTCTCGACTTCCTTCTCCCATATTCTGGGCCAAGGTCTCCACTTCTTCCTGAGGCTTTTCATGGTTGAATGTCACCTACTTCTGGCTGGTGTTCCCAATCAAGCATTCAGCAGAAAGTACTGAATCTGAAAATCTCAAATGCTCCCAAATCCAAAAACTTTTTGAGTACTAACAGGATACCAGCAATGGAAAATTTTACATGTGACCTCACAGTCAAAAAGCAGGTGCCCTAAAAATATCTGATGGAACTGTCTCCAAGCTCTGTTTATAAGGTGTACATGAAACATAAATGAATTTTATGTTAAGACTTTGATCTCATTCCCAACATATCTCATTATGCAGATGTAAATATTCCTACATCTGAAAAAAATCAGACCCAGAACACATTTCATCCTGATGATTTCAGACAAAAGATATCCAGTCTGTAGGAGGAAAAAAAAATTCTGTGTTCATGTGATGAGGAAAAATTTTCATTGCATAATCGAACGCTCTTCCTAGGAGAAAAAAAAAAGCCATTTAATTTCCTTTCTTAATTATAGACTTTCTACTCTAGATGGGATATTAAAATGTAATTGAAAAGATGCCAAACAGAAAGAGCCCCCAGTGGCCACCAGTGGAAGAATTTAAACAACAAAATTAATAATATGGTATCAGATAATAACCCGAAGTGTAAAATAAATACCCACAAGTCCATACCAATGCAAGTAAATGATTGAATAAATATAAATGGGGGAGAAGAGACAAATCTGTACAGAAAAATTTAAATAATACATGTATATAGTTCCTCTTGAAGGAGATGGAACTCTCTTTTCTCTCTTAAGTGTGGGCTGTACTCAATGACTTGTTTATAAGGAGTAGAGCTTGGGAACAGGAAAAGGTAATTTTTTATGGTAAACTCTCAACCATGGCCAGATGATCAAGGTTTACTCACTAGACATAAGTAATGTTGACAGAATATGCCCTGATAGAGTGTGATGGAGGTGACAGTTCACAGTATTTCTCCCCCAAGTTCCAACCCCATCTGTCATGATTTTTTAAAAGAGCAGAAAAATCCAAATTAAAGAAGATCCTGCAAAATACCTGACCTGTCCTTCTCAAAGGTGTCATGGTCCTCAAAAACAAGAAAAGTCTAAGAAACAGCAGAAAAGCTGAGGAGATGAGATGACTAAATACAGTGTGGTTCCTGAATGAGATCCTGGATCAGAAAAAGGGCACTAGGGAAAGATTGTAAAACTCCAAATAAATCGTGGTGTTTAGTTAGTAGTAATGCATCCATGTTCGTTCTGTAGTTGTGATAAATGAACAACAGCAATGAAAGCTATTGGGTCAGGGATATATGGAGGCTCTCTGCATTATCTTTGCAACTTTCTGTACATCTAAAACTATTCTAAACTAAAAAGATGATTTAAAGGTAAATGAGAAAGAGACCACACTGGAAGTATCTGAGAATATAATCACAACAGTAGACATCAGTGTATCATCACTTTGGAGGCTCAGTGCCCAGCAGTTCTAAGTTAGGAAGTTTGTTCTCATGGGATGACTAAGCTGCTCATGCTTTTGTTGTTATTTGCATAACGTGGAGGATAAACACTGGCCCTTCATGCATCCCATGCCAACTCTTCGTGACTGTTAAGTCCCTATCAAGTTGTCTCTCCATTTTCTCTTTCCCCCTTTCCTAGCTGAATATACTGGGAGGAGAAGTGAAGATACATGGTCTGGCAAATGTTCTTCTTTACCACTGACTGACGTGCCCAGGGGCGTGTGTAACAATGTAGCTGTTAAACACCATGGTGATGGTTCATCTTGATTGTCAACTTGATTGGCTTGATAGATGCCTAGGAGATTAGTAAAGCACACTTCTGGATGTTTCTGAGCTAGTCAGGGGCACATGACCCTAAGAACAATATGTGATCCCTTGGCCATTCTTCCCTGCCTCTTCTCTGCTCTCTGCTTCCTGGATGCCATGAGTAGAGCATCTTTCCTCCCCAACCCCTTCCACCATGAGGTTTCTATCTCAGAGCCAGCCGAACGGGGATTGAAACCTTTGAAACTGTGAGCAAAACTAAACATTTCCTCTTCTGAGGTAAGTTTCTCAGGTGTTTGGTCTCAGCCATGGAAATCTGACAAATACAACCACACAGGAGGTAGTTGTTTTGTGGGCAGTGCTCTCCCAAGTGCCAAGGAATGTGCACAAACCTGGCTGAAAGGGTCTCATACCTCATTGTCTTCTATCCATTTTTGTAAAGCAAGTTGTTGATCTTGGAGTTTAAGTCTCTGTTTCTGATAATTGTATAAAGAACATTTAATTTATTACCATTATTTTTTTTCAAGTTTTCTCCTCCTTAGACTATGTACTAAAATGTGGCGCAGGTAGCAAGAAGCATACTCAGACTAGTCAAACACTAAGAAAGAGAAGGGTGCCAAACGAGCCACAGATGACCACTGCTAATGATAGCTTGCTCTCTGCTAGACTGCCATAGCAAGTGTTTGGAGTCATGAGTCTCTGGGTGTGTGGACATTCACAGGAACACTAACCCTGTGCCCATAGACAGGCACAGCACTGGGGCTTTAGGTTGTGTCCCAGACACTTTTTCAGTCCATCCATTTTCTGGTTTGACGGTCCGGGCCAATAGGATTCTGTAGGCCATCGGTCAGACCAGGGGTCATGAGTGAGGCTGGGGTTCTTGTGTAACTCAGGTCAGGGAGGCAAAAGTAGAGCCTTTTTTTCCTCTAGGGGAGGGTATAGAGATAAAGGAATGGTCAGGTTCATAGGAATTTTTTTAAAACTAAAATTATATAATTACATCTTCTATGATCCTTCCCTTTCCCTCTAAGGCTCATGCTTGTTCTGGTTTCTGTGTTTTTGATGGAGAATTCATGGTATCCTTTGCAACTGCTGTGTGAAGTTTTGTGACTCCATTACTTTACAGAACCTCCTATCTTCCATTCCCTGTGTTTGCATCCCACGCATAAGTATATAGCATGCATTTCTGTTTCCCAGCCCTCACATGAGCCACCAGGAGGGGAAACTCTGGGCTTCTTAGCTCTGAGGTATGGTCTATATTTTTCTTATAACCCATTATTTACCTTGTATGTATTACTATTTTTTTTTTTTTGATGGGGCTGGGGATCAAACTCAGAATCTTGCTCATGCTAGGCAAACACTCTACCTCTGAGCTTCTTCTCCAACTCTACCTGTTACTGTTTAAGGGAACTAGAGGTCCTGGTGGAGTAGAGAGGGCCAAGAGACCTCCATTAGACCTGACCTGTGAATCCACGCATGCAGCCATATCCAAGTAGAGGGTGACACAGTTGCCTCACATTAGAAGACACCCAGCTGGTGTCTGCTGCAGAACCGATTGCTTGCTGATGGGGAGAAATCCTCACACACTTTGATCACCAGGAGGCACGGAAGTATTGTGTGGTGATTACTGTGTGAGAGTAGGGGAAAATGCTTTGGTATTTTTCTTCCATATAGTGCAGAAATGGAGAGAATTACAGCACAAAAGGAGTGTATGGAGGTTTTAAATAGGATATTTAAACAGGATCGCATGCTGAGGAGGTGGCATGAGAATAATGCCTGGTTGAATAATAGAAATGAACCATAGGGATAGGAATATACAAGACAAAAGAATACCAGACCTAGAGAGAAAAGTGGGAACAAAGGCACAGGGGTTGAGGCAAGTTCCATGTATTCAAACAGCAAAGTGGCCATTTACCTGGGGCTGGGAACTGTGTCTGTTTTCCTAAAACCAGTGAAGAAAGTATCCTACAGTCCTGTCATTCCCCCTTGAAATCTCCAGGAGACACAAACTGCTAAGGCACCTTTTCCAGAGTAGAAGCTGGTAGTGACAATGCAGCTGTGACCGTCAAAGCAGGCATGCTCAAGAGCAGTACTGGTTCTGGGATGAAGACAGCCCTGATACCATTTGAAAATGAAGACGTGTTGTCCAGTCACTTCTGCATGTGAAAGCATAAACACACTGTGAAGCCAGAATAGCACACACTTGTCCCGGGCTCTGCTCAAAACCTTCTTGAGACCATGATAGCTTCCGACTAGGTCCCAATAGGAGTACTGGAGTCAGACGGCTTGAAAAATCCCTTTCATCGAGGAAATCACTTGCAATTTCTCTGACTTGCTTAGCTTCAGGTTTTTCTCCCACCTTGATACCTTTCATGAATAATTGGGAGGGGGGAATAATTGGTGGGTTTCAGTTGACCGTTACAAGCTGACTGCAAAGGAAAGGCTTGGGTCTCTTTTTCCTCCTTTGCCCATTTTAATGCAACACTGGCCACAGTGAAAATAATTATATCTGAGGGGCCAGGAAAATGGGCTGTATTCGGGAAAAAGAGTCAGGAAAATGAGCTGTATTATGAAGCCACCAATAATTTCGGCATATGAATTACAACTCAGAGACATAGTGTGATTAGTGTTCACAAAGTGAAGGCACACGCTTTACAGAGGCAATTAGATCGGAAAGATACAAATGATGGATCACAAAGCCTTTTCCCACATTTTCCCTCAAAACTATACCCCTAACACAGACCACCATTTCTCAGTGTACCTTGTTATTAGGAGTGATCTAAAGAAAACAGGGGGTTGCTTGGTGATGAATCATTGAATCATTTGTAACATTGGTGTTTAGTTGGGTTTTATCTAACCTAGGTGGGACGATAATTCATTGGCGTTTCTTCTCAGCCCTCCTTCTAGCCAAGGACCTGCATTTGCTGGGTGCTGGACTAGGGCCTAGGGCTGATTTTAAGGCTATAGGCTCAGGGAAATTGGAAAGATTCCAGAGGTTCTAAGTTTCTGCAATTGTGACCTCGCTAGCACTGTGTCCTAACAAGCAGAGTCAAATGCATAGAACTTAGTAGCATGCTACCTTGGCTCTTTTGTACTTGGCTTTGGCCAAGGGAAGTCAACCTAGAGGCTATGTGGCATGGTAGAGCACAGTGATGGCTCAAGACAAGGAGAAGGAAACATTCCAGGTCTAACTTGGACCTTCACAGGAAGTGCCAGCTACCACAGCATTGAAAAGGAGGGAACAGCAAAGAAATGAGTTAGAAAAGAAACTCCAGAGCAGATCACCGCTAATAGCTGTACATGCACAAACTGGGGAATCCATCAGAGCCACATGATGTAGGATGACAGACATATTCAAACATGCAGCGCCATGTGTGTGCATTTGTGGGAGATGAGGAAAAGCAGGGTAGATGGATTGTGGAGCATTTGGCATTATTGGATTTGAACAGCTTTTCCATAAAATCGTATGTCACCTTGCAAGTTTCCTGGCATTTGCTGAACAACTTCAGGGGGTTCCAAGAACCCACTGGTCCCCTAGGAAGCCCTCTGGAGGGTGACAGCTGTTTTTGAAAAGGTACCTGTCACCCTGGCCATTATGAAAGCTTCATCTTTCTCTGTTGGCAGTTCTCGGGGACATGAAAAATGCTCCACTGTGCCTGGCTGTAATTAAACTTTGAGCTGAAGTTTTACCCTGCAGCTTTGCTGGCAAATGCAATAATAATGAATGAAGTGGAATATTTATGGTGTTAATGCGAACAGGATTTAAAATAATGCACACAGTTCACTTAATTCCATCCCTGTGACTTCCCCATCCCCTTCCAGCATCTGCTCTCATGGCACCAGCTTTTCCTTCCCAGGATAGCCCCATCTCCCCCTTTCCTCTCTGCTGTGATTTACTTTCTGTTTTTCTCCACTACCTCATTTGAGATGTACTGCATTGGCCATTGGTTACCTCTACCCCAGTTTATTCATTCTGCTGCCATTGAAACATTCCTTAGGTTCATTTGGGGGAACAAATGTCATTTGGCCATTTTCAGGGCCAAGAACTAGGAATAACTGGGTCCCGACTCCCCAGATTTTATCCTCCTGCCTTGGTACACACATGTGCTGGAGCCCCTGGTTGTTCATTCTCCTCCAGGTGGGAGGTGGGGGTCCTCTTTGTACCCCACATCACCACCACAGCCTCCTTCCAACCAAGAATCCTGTTTATTGTCCAAGGCTCCCGGTGCTCTCTCAGTGTTATCCCTGGTGGCTTCTTTGGAAGCAGTTTTGAAGGTGATAGGAAACAGGTACCTCGATTTCCTTTCTGTGCCAGTGGCTCCAGGCTCCTGCCAAACAGAAGTTTATAGGCACTGTAATTATCAAACCTCATGACCTTCCCTTTCCCCTGGGCTCAGCTGTGTTCAGCATCCCCATCACAACCTTGCAAATGGATCCGTCAGCTCCTCATCCTCAGAGCATCCTTCTGCCTGAGGATGCAGCTTCCTCACCCTGAAGTCACGAAACTGAGAGAGAATTACTTGTCAGGGATGGGAAAGGAGGAGAGATGGCCCTGCAAAGAGCAGGGAACAGAACGAACTCTGGATTTTTCTCTTTGCTTTGGAGAAAAATCATTTGTGCTCACCTGTTCCTGATGATTCTTCTCTGAGCAAACACTTCTGTGGTCATTTCCAACCTCCTGTTCTCTTCTGTACCACCAACCATCAAGACTTCATCTTAACTGTTGTTTTGTGCTGATCAAAGAAGCATGCCTGTGGTAGAAATGGAGGGAAACCTACTTTGAATGACCTGGAGGAAGAAAGCAGTTTGTAGTCAAAGAAAGCACAATCCAAGGGCGGCAAGATGCACTGAGCCTCATGGGACTGACTTGGTGAGTTTATTCCTTCCACTCTGCTTCCAATCAGTGCCTCTCCCTTCTGCTTCTTGTCATCTGTCCTCATTTGGCGGACCCACCTTCTCCGTTTCTCTGTGTGACATTCAGTTAAGGGTACCTGCATTGCTGCCTCTTTGGTTCAAGGGAACAGTTAAGCTTGAGACTCTGGCGTTTGGGTGGGTTGCACCAGGTGTCTCCCTGGGCTGTAGAGTGGATCACACTTGTGTCCCAGGCTTTTTATGTGTTTGGAAAGTACACCTCAACGGATGCAGGTAGCATGTTGGGAGAACGCAAAAGATCTATAAATCCAAAGACATGGGTCTCAGCTTCTAACTCCCTTCCCTTCCAGGACACTGTCTGCTTTATTGGGTTCACCTGCCTTCCCCAGGCACAGGACGGGAGCCAGAAAACCATCATGGGCCTACTTTTTCCTTCTTGTGTAGGCAAAGCAGTGCTTTGTCTCAATACTCTCTGTCAACAGAGAACCCTTCTACCACTGGATATGTAGTTTCCCCCATACCAAGCAATTCTCGGTGATACAGATAAGCATCTGTCCTAACAGATCTGGATCTGAAATATCCCCCAGACGCTCAGGTTTTGAAGGCTTGGTCCCTGGTGCTGTAGAGTTCAGAGGTGGGGCCTTCAGGAATTGTTGGATCATTAAGGCTCTGACCTCTCACTAATGGATTAATCCATTGATGAATTCATAGCTTAATGGGCTATTGGGAGGTGAAGGAAATTGTAGGCAGTGAATCTTTGCTGGAGAAAGTAGGCCAATCTGGGTGTGACTTTGAAGGATATATTTTATCCCAAGTTCGTTCTCTCTCTCTCTCTCTCTCTCTCTCTCTCTCTCTCTTTCTCTCCTCTCTCTCTTTCCTGGCTACCATGAGGTGAGTAGCTTTGTTCCACTGTGGTCTCCCCACCATGATCTTCAGCCTTGCCATGGACCCAAAGTGACAGGGTCAAGTGACCATGAACTGAAATCTGTGAAACTATGAGCCAAAGTAATACCTTTCTTCCTTTATATTGTTTTGCTCAGCTGTTTTATCACAATGACAGAAAGCTAATACATGTCCAACAATTCAGTTCAATTTTAATGCCTCTACTGGGACACACCATCAGATTCCACAGATAAAAGGCTCAATCCCACAAGATGTTCTCCACATTTGGACACCAAGTGTAAGTCCAGGTTGTCACCTGGGCTTCTTAACAATGGGCAGTAAAGCAGAAATCCCTATGAACCCCTCTTTCTTTTTCCCCCATTCAGTTTATTGGTACGTTTT